CGGGCTTCTGTTTTCAAATCACTGTAAAAGGCTTTTCATTTTCACACTGACCTGTCACTGACGATACACAGTGACAGTTTATATCCAGACATACATTACCACATACAATAGATAGATACAGTAGATAGATACTTTATTGAGCCCCGTCAGAGAAATTCAGGTGTCCAGTAGCAACAAGAATAATTCAAAAAAGCTAACAATAGTTATAATCAACAACAACCTATCGGGTCACAGCAGCAGAGGTGGAGTAGCCTCTGGGTGGAGCAGGACAGGTCAAAAGGTGGAGTAGCCGCTTGGTTCTTTGTTCCCTTTAGTGTTTGCAATAAAGGGAACAAAGGTCAACAACAACAAATAATCAGAAAAAATACTGCTTTTTTGCAGTATCCTGGGTTCAGACTCGTAAGCTGCTACCTAACCCTATCCCAACTGGGAGCCTCCTTGGTCCTGCACCACAGAGTCTCTGGATCTACAGCCTCAGTCCTGGATCCACTGCCTCAGTCCTGGATCTACAGCCTCAGTCCTGGATCTACAGCCTCAATTCTGGATCTACAGCCTCAGTCCTGGATCTATAGCCTCAGTTCTGGATCTATAGCCTCAGTTCTGGATCTATAGCCTCAGTTCTGGATCTATAGCCTCAGTTCTGGATCCACAGCCTCAGTCTTTTGAATTGTTTCTTGCCGATGCAGGAAGGTCTTAGGACAGTGATGATCCAGGACATTTGAGAATATTTCTGGACCCATCCTGCTGCCCATGGACCAATGACTTCTATTTATTTGCTATCATTGCATTTCCTCTGTTCAAACTGTCATCTGACTGAATCTCTAATCTGTTGGTGAGTTGACAACTTTTAAAAATCCTCGGAGACCACTGCTAATGTTATTTAGGGCTGCACATCCATTTGGCATGGATAGAATCACTGCAGTGCAAACATGCTAAAGGCATTAAAACGTATTTTGTAATTTGGTTGCATGAATTGAAGCTTTATAGTTTTTATACTTTTTGGTCAAGTTGATTTGTATCAGTTGATTGGAGTAAAAATGCGTCTCAAACATAGGATTTTCCACTGTATTTGTTCTGCATATTTCATTTGGGTTTCAAAACAGTAACACTTATTTTTTTATAAATCCTTCCCCTTTGAATCTTAAAATGATTATGACATGAAAAAGAGAGCAAAAAAAAGAGATAGAGAGACCAGAGAAAGAACAGAAAGAGACCAGAGAGAGACCAGAGAGAGGACCAGAGAGAGACCAGAGAGAGACCAGAGTAAGAACAGAGAGAAACCAGGGACCAGAGAGAGATCAGAGAGAGACCAGAGAGAGAGACCAGAGAGAGACTAGATAGACCAGAGAGAGAGAGGCCGAGAGAGAGACCAGGGAGAGACTAGAGAGAGAGACCAGGGATCAGAGAGAGACCAGAGAGGGATCACAGAGAAAGAGACCACAGAGAGACCAGAGAGAGACCATATGTCCAGGTCTTACCATGGCATAAAATTCTCTCTTGTTGGTCTTGTCTCTTGTGGCTGTTCTCATTCAAAAACATGTAATGTCAGAAAGGATCCTTTGTGATGTACATTCTTGGGATGTTTATGCCCGGTTTGTTTCGTCACAGAGTATAATGGGAGGGAAACTTTCAAATGGAATTATGTGCGGAATTTATGAAATCATTGGGAAGTAACTATTTGCATTTGTAGTAAGAATACATATTCAGAACGTGTAGATTTTAGACTTGCTTCTGCTAAAGTTAGAGATCTTAAAATGATTATGACATGAAAAAGAGAGCCAAAAAGAGATAGAGAGACCAGAGAGAGAACAGAGAGAGACCAGAGAGAGAACAGAGAGAGACCAGAGAGGGACCAGAGAGACCAGAGAGAGACCAGAGAGAGACCAGAGAGAGACCAGAGAGAGAGACCAGAGAGAGACCAGAGAGAGAGACCAGAGAGAGACCAGAGAGAGAGACCAGAGAGAGACCAGAGAGAGAGACCAGAGAGAGACCAGAGAGAGAGACCAGAGAGAGACCAGAGAGAGACCAGAGAGAGACCCGAGAGAGACCAGAGAGGGACCAGAGAGGGACCAGAGAGAGACCAGAGAGAACCTTTGCTTATGCTAAAGTTAGAGCTAGTATATCATATATTTAGAATTCAATAGAGTTATTGTTAATTTATCTTGTGTAACTGGTGATGCAACACTGACATTTCCCCACTGTGGGACGAATAAAGAATCTCCTAATCTTAATTTACATTTGCTGTTGTAGGTGGGGCATAAATGTTTTGTTTTGAATCCTCATTGACATCTGTCCGGGCCTTGCTCATATTTTTGGCCTCTCTCACATGTTTGGAGCAACTTTTTTCAACCCAAAGTGTCAAATATGCACATACTAGTAAGTCAGTAATGTTTATTTATATGACGCATTTTAGACCAAGGTCATTCAAAGCACTTTACAATGTTCAGAGTTCAGATATTTTTCCATTCACACACGGTGATGACAGAAGCGAGACACTGAACATCAAAGCACCTACCAACACCATCCATTCAATCACATTACATTCAGAGTGTACACATTTTAGTGGTAGGGGAATCCGGAGCACCCGGAGGAAACCGGAGCACCCAGAGGAAACCGGAGCAGGTACATCAAAACAGCACTCAGAAAGGCCCTGTTCCAACCAGGATTTGAACCCAGGACCTAACCACTCAGCCAACAATTAGTATTAGTGTACACTGCAAAAAGTGATGAAAAATAAGTCAAAAAGGCAAAGATTTGGCTAAATGTATCTTAATTTGAGCACATTTTGACATTGCCTTCAAACAAGATTTTCCAATGGGACGAAGCAAAATTATCTTGTCTTTGAAATATACATGAAATGCCTCCTTTGAACGAGAAAATAAAGCAACAGTTTTTGAAATAAGACTAAATGGCTTTGTCCCGTTGGAGAATCTGGTTTTAACACAGTCAGAATGTGCTCAGATTAAGATTTAAAAAATCACTCAATACAAGCTTTTATAATGTCATATTTTGTCATTTTTTTGCAGTGAGAGAGAGCGGACCACCCTCACCCTTACATATTAGTGTTTATTTCAGGACCACGGGGCAGAGGCTGAAGCAGTGGGCGGCGGCGGGACAGTGCCAGCAGGACAGGGCTGCGATACGACAGGTGCAAAAGCCGAGGGGAGCAGGATTATAATAATGACTTGGCACTGGGGCGAGCTGGAGATGGGAATACCAGGAGCGGCTTAAGGAAAAATGAGAGGAATTCATAAAAGTTGGCAAAATGTGACTGTGGAAATGTGCGAATTCTAAAGTGACAGGTTCCATTTTTACACACGGAATGAGTTTTCTTGGTGGGAGAGAATCTTGCTCCGCTCTGAAAGAGGACATGTGAGCTGCCTGTTCTTTAGATTCAAGATTCAAGAATAGATTTGCTATTTGCAGTAAAACCACATTGGAAAAACTGTGCAAGACTACCCCCAGTGTTAGCCTGGCCTTATCCATCCGTACACTCCGCTCAATCATCATTTCCTGCATGTAACGTCTGTGTCCCTGTGTTTGCGATTACAATCGGTTGAATTCCATCCGACCAATCAGCGAGCGCGGGAGGCGGGTGTTGTAGTTAGATGTGGGTTATGTCAAGAGTTTGCGTCGAACGGGCAGGTTGTAGTTCGGCAATGGCAAAAAAAGCGATAGTAAAGTATTCCGGTCTGGTTCTGTCAAGAAATTGAAGCCGGAGCAAGGGGAATAAATAGCAAATGTAATTGCTGGCAAAAATTGTGGCGTTACCCCCCACGGGCTCCGTTAGCGGCGAAGGAGATGGCTAGGCTAAATGCTAACGACTCACTCGGGCGCTTTACATTCGTGACGGTAAACTCAGATCCAATCGTTTCAATCTGCGAAAGGAATTCACCCCTCCCACCTGTTAACGGAGCTCAATGGAGCACCTCCAGACCTTAGTACTATGGTGTGGTACGACCAGGCTACCCCAGTGTGCACCAGACATAGAAAATAGCTCACACCAGAGCTCTTGCCTGAATCCAGACTCTCAAACCGAGCTCTTGGAAAAATCAATGACTCTTCTAGTAGAAGATATCTTTCACTGAGATGCAGGACGTCTGGATATGCTAACATGCTAAAAACTTCTTTCCACAAGTTGTTATCAGTCTGAACAAAGCACTAAATGATCTTTCACTTTTTATTGAAACAGCCTCAGATCCAGGTCTGAGGCTGTAGATCCAGGACTGAGGCTGTAGATCCAGGACTCAGACTGTAGAACTGGCCTTCGAACAGGAGTCCATAACAGACTATTTTTGGTTGTGATATTGGTCCAAATAATGTCAATGACCAAGATAGAACCGTCTGAGGTCACACATCATACCTGCCTTTATCTTATTACATAAATCAATGCACTTCTTTAGCCCAAATCTACTCTGTGGGCAGAAACCAGAAGCGACAAAACCACATTTATAAGAAACACAGTCATAATCCTTCATAGTATTCGCTCATCATGACACGGACTTTTCAAACCATAGATTCCAAGTTATGGTAAAACTGTGGTGAAGCTACTTTTTCTTGCACAGTATTTTCTATCTTATTATGCTAAAGCTAGAGATTTTATACTTGCTTCTTTATTATTATAAAGCCAGAGATTTTATTTTATTTTAGTATATAGGTATTGTTCATTTATCTTGTGTTGTGTGCTCCTCATTCCTACTGTTCTGTAACTGATGCAACACTGAAATTTCCCCACTGTGGGAAAAATAAAGGATCTTTTAGTTCAGCTTTAAAGTTGTAGTCATTGGCTTGTGTGTGTGTGGAGGTTAAAACAGCAGCAGAATACGGTCTCAAAGACATAAGACATTCCTATGATGCCCTCTGGTGGCGAAAACTCGTACTGCGTTGTATTGTAACAGCAAATTCCATAGAAAGAAGTAGTTTCAAAGTAGAGTGACAGCAAATAACTTCAATACATGACTTCAAGACAATCAAAAACAAACAGATTAGGTTTTTCTCACCTCTTTTTCACGGCCTTGTTGTCTTTTTTCATCTCTGCTGGTAGACTGAACTCGGCCTTTGCAGCTGCTGCTTGTGCTTCTGCTGCTGCTGTTGTGGGCAGTGGTCTTTTGCCAGCCAGCATTGCTACTGGGGTGGGCATCCTGTTTCTTCCTCAAGCACTTCCTGTTCCTGCTCGAGTTTCTACGGTGACGACTGACCAGGAATTCCTTATATTGTGAAGCTTCAGGAAAATCATCCTCCTCCTCCTCTTCCTCGTCCTCCTCGTCTTCTTCCCCCTCTGTGGTCTCTGTGGATGAGGACACTTCTTTGAGTTGTAGGCTCTCATTGGCTAACGCAGCACGGCTTTCCGGCTTTTGATTGAAATCCGAAAACACGATAGCGCTAGGTTTGTGCTTTACAATTCTTAGCAGATCGTGGGTCCAGTCTTCTTGGGTTGAATCCTCATCTTTGCCGTTATTCTCACAAGTTTTATCGCCGTCTTTAGCTGTAAATCCATTCATATTAGCTCCAACTTGGCTCAAAACAGCCTCTCCGCAATAGATTTCAGTCGCTTCTACAATCTCTACATCTGCAATACTGGGATCTTCCATAGTCCCACATGCTAGCAGTGGACTTGTCTCACTCCTCTTAGTATTGCTGTCCGGTGAATCACACTTTAGCACGTGGACAGGTCCAGACATGGCGTGGGGGTGGGGGTGGTGGTTATTACAGGCTTTGAGCTTGACCTTGCCGTTTGAGCAGAGGGAGAGGGGATGGCCTGGGGGGTGTGCGGGCCTGTTACACCGCGGAGCAGCCACCGGTCCTTCATGCATCACTAGCCGTCTGCATCTGACAAGACTTTGATTGCGAGTTAATTCTAAAGGCTGCAGTTTAGCGAGCCGGCTGGAATGTCAGAGGGGGTTAAGTTGCCAAAATACAGCAATTAGACGAGGTGTTTATTCTCCAGTCATGGCGTGAAGGTGAGAAGTCAGCTCCCGAAGTCGACCTATGGGAGAAACAAGGAATATATATAATTAGCTCGACTAGACTTTTTAGCAAGAGGTCCACTTTAGTTCATCAAAAATTGTCGATTCACCAACAGAGAATCGTCACTGTCCTTGGACACTCCTGCAACGGCAAAGAACGACCTCAGTGGTAAAAAAAAAAAGTGAAAGAATGTTGATTTTGTATTGGTATTGAGAGAGGGATCTGATCCCACAGATGGACAGGCTGTAGATCCAGGACTGAGGCTGGAGATCCAGGACTGAGACTGTAGATCCAGGACTGAGACTGTAGATCCAGAACCAGGACTGAGACTGTACTGTAGATCTAGGACTGAGGCTGTAGATCCAGGACTGAGGCTGTAGATCCAGGACTGAGGCTGTAGATCCAGGACTGAGGCTGTAGATCCAGGACTGAGGCTGTAGATCCAGGATTGAGGCTGTAGATCCAGGACTGAGACTGTAGATCCAGGACTGAGACTGTAGATCCAGGACTGAGGCTGTAGATCCAGGACTGAGACTGTAGATCCAGGACTGAGACTGTAGATTTGGGACTGAGGCTGTAGATTCAGGACTGAGACTGTAGATCCAGGACTGAGGCTGTAGATCCAGGACTGAGGCTGTAGATCCAGGACTGAGGCTGTAGATCCAGGACTGAGGCTGTAGATCCAGGACTGAAGCTGTAGATCCAGGACTGAGGCTGTAGATCGAGGACTGAGACTGTAGAACGAGGACTGAGGCTGTAGATCCAGGACTGACGTCATATTCTCCATCACGTTTTCTCAGGGCAGATCAGGCTCCTCAGACTTGGGGTTCCTCAGACTCAACAGAAACGGTTGTTGGTCCTAAATTATGGAATTTCCTGTTTCTAAGTCTCGTCTTAAAACTCACTTGTTCTCATTGGCTTTTAATAGATTTTTTATTGTTGATATTTTGCTGTAAATAGTGTGTTTTTGCTTTGTATTTTCTACTTGTAATTTTCTTTTAATAGCGCTTTATAAATTAACTGCACTGCACTGGACAGGACCGAGGAGGCTCCCAGGCGGTGACGGGCGGGGCAGGATTTGGGCCATTGCCTTTAACACTCAATATATCATGTCATAATATTGTAAATGTAATCGAAATGGGACTGAAATCCTCTATAGCCCATACAAAGCCTATCCCAAGTCTCGCCTGGTATTATGATAGTATTTGATCATGTTTTAGTATTTAGTATTGAACCGTGTTTTTATCATCTTATGAGGTATTTGAGGTGAATCAGATTGGTTTCCATAAACATAGCACTAGTGTACAGTCAATACAGATGGAGATTACGGCGCCTAGACAAGTTTATCTGTGTGTTGCATCACCGCAGCACACTCCTTGAAGCAACACATTACACACAGACTGTTGTAAGCAGAGGGAAAAACACAAAAGCTAGAGCAGAACATCCAAAACACTGCACCAAAGGGCATAATAATAACAATGCGTTTGGATTCTTAGATGCCTTTCTAGCTCTCTTACACAACAGGTAATAAAGTAGATCTAAAAATAGTATGAGCAGAGCATGGTGTAGGTAAAATATGAGGGAATTATTGCTTGAATTGAGTGTTTTTTAACTTAATTTGAGCACAATCTGACTGTGTTAAAACAAGATTTGCCAATGGGACGAAGCCATTTAGTCTCATTTCAAGAACTTTTTGCAGTTTCTCATTCCATCACATCAAAAAGTGATGAAAAATATGTTTAAAATTGCTAAAATATGTCAAAATCAAAATGTAGCTTAATTTCAGCACATTTAGACTGCCTTAAAGTAAGATTCCCAATGGGACAAAGCAAAATGATCTTGTTTTTAAAAAGATACAAGAAATGTCTCAATTGGAATGAGAAAAAAAGCAACAGTTCTTTAAATAAGACTAAATGGCTTCGTCCCGTTGGAGAATCTTGTTTTAATACAGTCAGAATGTGTCATATCAAGACACATTTTGCCAAATTTGAAGTGTTTTTCATCACTTTTTGCGGTGATATATAGAATAGATATCCGTTCTCTCTGTAGTAGTAGAATGCGCTCTTTGGAATGAGCTGTGTTGGTTTAAGAGCTGAGGAGAAGTGTCTTTGCTTTTTTAAGTCATTGCTCCAAAAGTGGACGCCAGCTCCCGGCAGCTCCAAGGATCTCAGTCTGACAAATATCCACTCAACAGTGTTTTTTCCTGGTGTGTATTTTGGTCCTAGTCTCTCTTTCTTTACCTCACGTGTTATCATGTTATCTGGCTCTGAAATAAGCTACAATTCAAACCACCATTTCTAAGATGTAGGTTGTATTCATGAGTCTTATGATCAAGCAATGGATAGCTTTATGAAGTTTAGGAGTTTACATGCTTTAGTAGTTTCATTTCTGCAATGTCAAAAATGAAAGACCTCAAAACCTCCAAAACTATTGATGTAACTAGTTAGGGTTAGGGTTATTGTTCTTCTTTGTATTTTGTGTTTCAATCCCGGCTTTTTTCACTTCAAAAACACTGTAAAGAGAACTAAACATGGGGAGGCTGCAATTCACACTCACACAGCTAAAATCTGGAACTGACTTCCTGAAAATGTAAGACTGGCTACTCTGGTCCGAGACTGGTTCGAGACTGTTACTAGACTTGTCCAAGACTGGTCCAAGACTGGCCCGAGACTGGTCCGAGACTAGTTCAAGACTGGTTCGAGACTGGTCCTAAACAGCTCCAAGACTGGTCCTAGAATGGTCCTAGAATGGTCCTAGACTGGTCCTAGACTGGTCCTAGACTGGTCTGAGACTGATCCTATAGACTGGTTAAAGACTGGTCCTACACTGTTCCGAGACAAGTTCAAGACTGGTCCGAGAATAGTCCTAAACAGCTCCAAGACTGGTCCAAGACTGGTCCAAGCCTTAACTCATCAACACTTAGCTAGTTTTGCTATATTTAATTGTACCCAGTTTTATCGTGTGTTATTATTATTTTAAACGGACACATTATCTAATTTGAACAAAAGCAGTGAAAAAACTAAAACTATTTGTTGATTGTACCCCATTAATTTGAATGGGAGTTGTCAAAATGACTGCTCTGGGAGCCCAGGGAGTCCAAGCCACTAGAGCTAGTAACAAGTAAAGCACACACTATCAACACATCACACAATCACACACACTACAACAAATAACTCATATAAAAAAGCGGTACATACCAATGGCGTCATCCAAAAAAACATCACTCGGAGGCGGTTTCGTCTTTTTTTAAACACCGGCGGAAAGGACTAATTGATGAGCAGCTTGTGTCACGAATCCACGGCTCTCCTTTGAACAGATAAAGAGACGAGCAGAGTGAGAAGGGGAGGAGAGACGAGCCCTGGAATGCTCTGCCCTCCTGCATTACCTCACACACAGGCAGGTGTTTGGGCCAAAGTGTTGTTTTAGAACCGCAGGCGGCGAAAAACAACGGCGAGATGAGACGTGAGGAGAGATTTGCATTGAATTGACTTTGGAAAACATGTGAAATAAAGCAGGGAGACCTAACGTGTTTGTAGATTGTGTTTGTCCCAAGAAAGAGACTTAATGTTGTGACAAATCCATAGACGGTAAATAGTAAAGTCAGACCATATCCTCCTGTCTTCATGTAGCTTCTTTATTATGCTAAAGCTAGAGATTTTAAACAAGTAATAGTTTGCATGCTTGCAGGATAGAGCCCTGTGAGTCACTATTTGACCCTTTAGGCTGAGCGCTGATTGGCCAAGTCAGGGCGGTCCCTCTTTTTCACTTTTCTGACAGAAAAAGCTGTGATTGAAAGCCATGACAGAGGCCAAAAACCCTAGCGCTAGATACAAACCATTTTATAAATATTTCACTTTTTACTAATATCTTATTAGTATTTTTTAACAACCAAACCAGAGCAAAAAGTCAAATTAGAAATATACAAAAACAAATGGTAGCAATACAGTCACACCTAAACAGAGTAAAAGAAACCAGGTCCGCATCCTGAGTAGAAGTTAAAAGTAAATACTAAATAAATTAGTATTTAGTCGTGGGTTCGAGCCCACCATAAGACCTACTTCAAGACTCCCACTGATGTCTGCTGTTGTTGTGTCCTTGGGCAAGGCACTTAACCCCACTTTGCCTGAAGCCCCTGCAGATAAATCTCAGCTCCTATGGAGTCACCACCTGCAGGAGGATCAGTGAGGGGCTGGTGCTCTGTGTACTGGGTGCAGCTCTGACTGCCACCCCCCCCGACCCAGAAATGGATAAACGGAAAGAAGATGGATGGATGGAACCAATAAATCAGGACATACACATGGACTTTTTGTGGATTTTCAAAGTCAGGCACCCCAGCTTTAATTTACTACCGCTTCACACGCTTGAGTCCATTTAATAAAATTCTGCAATAATGAATCAACAATCTGTCAATGGAGAAACTGTAGCCTCCAGAGCAAGAACAAAAAGTGCACAGTTTAAGCAGCGGGACAGAACTAACCTCAGGGAGTGTTTCAGTTTGAGATCCGCTAATAATCAGTCCTGGCTTCAATAAAACATATTTAGTAACAATTAGTGGTGCTCCAGTCATATTAAACTCACCACAAGAATCTTAAATCATGCTGGGGGTTCCTGTAGATGGAAGGGAATGAGAATAAGTTGAAAATATAACTTCTTTTTTTAGCTGGAGCAAGCCCCAACAAGCAAGACATCTCTGTAAGAAAAATAATGACCAATGACATTTGTAAAGTTACATTCTGTGTGTGTGTGTGTGTGTGTTAGCAAACTTAAGCGATTCCTTAATGCTACGAGAGCCACCTGCTTAAACGTTTAATTTATCGTACGTCTTTAGTTTTTGACGTGGCTGAGA